CAGCAGCAATGACAGAGACTAGTCCATAGTCCACTGCCTAGACAGTTATCCCAGGCACCCGTGGTCTCCATGGTGTTGGATGCAGGGGTACCAGGATAGCATGAGTCTCTAGCTGCTGGGCCCAGAAGACGAGAGGCATTTCTGTGGAGGAGGAGCATGGGAGGCACTGACTTTACTTTGTCTGGGCCAAGAAGGGCAATGAACTCTCCAGTGTCCTGCTTGTCCACAGTTTGGGCTGGGTCTTGGCTCTAGGTGAGGCACTGGGCCAGTCTTGCTTCGTGGTTATCATTACCACAATGCAGGCGGAGTCATCTGTCACTGTGTCTATTGTCTTCTTGGAGACCTTGGGGGATGCGGCTAGGATCTAGGAGTGCCTGTCATCTAAGTTTAAATACCTTAAATGCCATATTCAGCAAATCTGTGACAGTTTGAGGACCATTACCTATTAAGTATACCTGAGCTAAACAAAGTTTTTTTCTTTCTGTACTTAATTACATTAATACTTAGCATGGCTGTAAATATAGTTCTGAACATTTCAGGGCTTAATTATCTTCAACAGTTTATAATAAAAATGACAATTTCTGAATTGAGCCTCTTTTAGTATCAAGATAAGACTTTTTTGTTAGGAACATAGTCCACAAAGAGACTGAGAACATTCCCGATCCTTATACAGTACTATTATAGAATATAGCGGTTTTTCGTATGATTCAGTTTATAAGAATAGCTATAGCTTAACAACGCTAGCAAAAACAAGGAGGTTAGACATTTTTAAATCAGTCCATTAGCTCGAATAGACCTGAGGTAAGGAGAGACATTCTCTAAGCCGGTGGTCCCAAGTTCTTTGTCAGACTGCCTAGGTCACTGTCTTACTGCATCATAAGATAAGAATGCCCCAGTGTCTGGTGCTTAGCTGTTGTCCTAATTTTCAGACTTTTATTTACCTACCTAAAATTGTTACAGTCGTTTCCCAGGAGACCCGATATTAAGGCCAATGGCTGGCTTGCAGAAAATGACCCAGAAGAAGGTAGAAAGACCCCTGACTTGGATCACCAAAGAGCATTCATGAGTGGAGGTCATTTTGAATTGGGGCTTTCAGTTACACTTGGTGGGACTCATCCTATCTGACTCACACAGTCCTATCAGGCAGAACACATCCCTGTAAAATCACAAGGCAGGTTTTCCATATAGGAGATTCTTTTCATCTCCTCCACTACAAAACATTTTAAATTGTTATCAAATTTATAAATTTGACATGACTAGTTGTAGAGGTACAGAAAACCAACCTTGATTAACATGAAACTTCAGTTTTTCTCACACCTCCACAAGCTGGCCTAACACCCATGCTGGGCAATGATTATAGTTATTTTAACAGATTGACATACAGCTTCAGGTCTTTTTCTATGAACAACATATATAAGAATATAATTTATAGCTGGGTGTTAGTGGCACATGCCTTTAATTTCAGCACTCGGGAGGCAGAGGCAGGCAGAGGCAGGCAGATCTCTGTGAGTTCGAGACCAGCCTGGTCTATAAGAGCTAGTTCCAAGACAGCCTCCAAAGCCACAGAGAAACCCTGCCTTGAAAAGCTCCCCCCCCAAAAGAATATAACTTATGTGTACATTTGTAGGACATGAATAAATATTAAAGGAATTTTTTAAATCAAAGAACTTTTTGCAATATGTACATTTGAAAGTTTTTAAAAGATTTTTCCTTTCATGAGAAAAATATTATATTGAGATATATATTATATACTATGCTCCAAAATCTAGTAGTCCTGAAATAACTTCCTATTAACTGTAGTGTGTGTGTATGTGTGTGTGTATGAAGACTCATGTGCATGCATGTGTGTGTATGTTTATATACATATATATGTGAATGTGTGTATGAGTGTCCAAGTTAATGTGTGCATGTTTTGTATGTGTTCAAGTCCATGTGTGTGTTAAGTTCCTATTTATGCATGTATGCATTGTACATGTATGTGTGTGGAGGGCAGAGGACAACCTCAGTTGTGGTTCCTCAAATGCCATCCACCTGTGTGAGTACATGATGTTGTTAGGTCCCAGGCTGTCCAAATATCAAGAAATGAACTTAAGATGAACTATACAATTTCTGACAGATAAAAGCCAGCATTCCTCAGGAATTTTCGAAATCAGTTCCTGCCGGGCGGTGGTGGCACACACCTTTGATCCTAGCACTTGGGAGGCAGAGGCAGGCAGATCTCTGTGAGTTCAAGTCCAATCTGGTCTACAAAGTAAGTTTCAGGACAGCCAGAACTGTTACACAGAGAAACCCTGTCTCAGAAAAAAACAAAACACAAAGCAAAAACAAACAAACAGCCAGTTCCCATTGGCCAAAAGAAGCCACTTCCCTTGCCTCTGGACTATTTGAAAAAGAAATCGTTGTTTACATTTTTTCAAATATATAAAAGTTAAATAGTTGATTTCCTCCTTCCTCAACTCTTATAATATCAGCCCCCGAGTTACTTAATGTTAACAGTTTGATGTACCTTTTTTTTCTCCCTCTTTTACTAGTGTATGGGGGTAAGGACTCTGGCACTGTGATGGCCTGCTTGGGTCACCTGGTAAGCCATCTCTTCAGCCCCCCTTGAGAAAGTCCCTTAAGGTCTTAATTTCATCTTTTTTTTTTTCTCTCTCCCTTTCTGCCTAACACTGGTTCCTCTGTGGTGGCAAGATGTTGACCAACAATGTTCAGAACAGCCTTTTGTAGACCTAGAGGAATAGCTCTCTCCATCCATCAGGTGATTTCAGGCTTCCCTCTGATTGGACTGCCTTGATCACGTGCTTGCTTGCTTTGCTGAACTAGGTGTCAAACCCAGTCTTTTTTTTTTTTTCCCCAGAGACAGGGTTTCTCTGAGACTTTGGAGGCTGTCTTGGAACTAGCTCTTGTAAACTAGGCTGGTCTCGAACTCGCAAAGATCTGCCTGCCTCTACCTCCAGAGTGCTGGGATTAAAGACATGTTCCACCAACGCCTGACTTAAGCCCAGTCTTTTCGAAAGCTAATCAAACACTCTACCATGGAGTCATTACCCCCACCCCACCCCAGCCCTCTTCCTCCTCTTCCTTCCTCTTTCTAATTTGAGACAGAATCACACTACACAGCCTAAGTAGATCAGACTGAACTTGCATTTGAGAAACTCTTGTGTAAGTGTCAGTACTTAACTTATCTGATACAGGTGAGAAAATGAATATTGTCCAGGCATAGGTTGGAGGGGGTCACAGCAAGACTGAAGCTGTGACAAGTTTATTCCAAGCAATCAGACTTTTTATACCCTTATCAGAGATAAAATATAATGGCAGTTGCCAGGGTACAAATGTTGTTTTCAATGTAAGTTGTTCTATTTACCAATGAAGACTCAGATGTTGGGGTGAAAACCTGCTGGATCAGAGAAACTGAGAAGCAACCAGCTGATCTTCCCTTTAGGCCAGAGACCCAGCAAGAGAGCATCTCTCCATCTGTCACAAACCGAAAGGGCCCTCGAATCTCTAAGCCCCTCCCTGCCCCTTCTTGTGCTCCTCTTTCTCCATCTTCCCAGATCCTCCATACTATCTATGGCTAGTTCTTGTCAACTAGTCACTGGCTCCACCCCCTGGCCAAAGGTTAATTTTATTATCACAGCCTCGGAATTTCACAGTGCGATCAAATATCCCACTGCAAGCTGTGCAGAGTACCACAAGATTAATGCCTAAGACCAATCGTCCTGTCAAATTTCTATAAGCTTCGTTGGCTTCTGTCTTAGGGTTTCTATTGCTGTGAAGAGACACCATGACCACAGCAACTCTTATAAAGGAAGACATTTAATCAGAGTGGCTTGATTACAGTTTCAGGGGTTCAGTCCATTATCATCATGACAGGGAGCATGGAGGCATGCAGGCAGGCATGGTACTGGAGGTGAGAGTCCTACATCTTGTAGGCAACAGGATGTCAGCTAAAAATCACCCTGAAGGAAGCTTGAGCGAAAGAGACCCGAAAGTTGGCCCTCAAAGTGACACAGTCCCTCCAACAAGTCCACATTTCCTAATACTGCCACTCCCTTTGGGGGGGCATTTTCTTTCAAACCACCACAATTTTTTTTTTGAGACAGGGTTTCTCTGTATTGTTTTGGAGGCCGTCCTGGAACTCACTCTGTAGACCAGGCTGGCCTCAAAATCACAGAGATCTGCCTGCCTCTGCCTCCTGAGTGCTGGGATTAAAGGTGTGTGCCACCAATGCCCACCACCACAATTTCTAAGGACACAGAAACACAGAGGCAGCCTGAATGCTTCATTGCCTGAGGGAGTGCCTCAGTTTCTCAGGAACCAAAAGGTACACAGTGGCCCAGGAGCCACAGACTCTAACCTGAAACACCTAGACGCATGCCTCTGAAGGAAGTTAGACCAGGCCAATTCTACGATTCCTTGCACTCTTGCTCAGCCTCTTGGGATTACTGTATCTGGCTAGTCAAGTGTGTTTTAGCATAGTGCACAGATCGGCTTAGGTCTGGTGCATGCTGGTCCCCCAAATCATATCCTCTACTGGAGTAACCATATCCTTTACTGGAGATGGGGACAGAAAAATTACAGCACGATCCCCTGGGTGTCAACTGAGGGAGTAGAATGTAAAGAATGCTGAAACTCTTAATTCCCAGAAAGAGAGAGAGAGAGAGAGAGAGAGAGAGAGAGAGAGAGAGAGAGAGAGAGAGAGAGAGAGAACAGGATATATGTCATGTCTTCAGCGCTCGTCTTCAAATGGGGGACACTAAGAATAAATCCTTATCTCCTTATCTTTAAAAATGCTTATCATTTGTATTTTACATTTTCTGACAACAAGCATATTACTTGAACAACTTCAAAGAGAAAGGCTGTGCCTATGAGGGAGAGCCAGTAACTAATGCTTGTAAGTTTAAAGCCGAGGTGTTAACAATCAGGAAGTACTGGCCAGCTCTTGCAGAAACTCAGATCGGCCTTTCTCTGGCCCGTTACTACACTGTGGTTATTGTAACAAATGGGCTTTAAAATCACCAGGTCCAGAGCTTGAATTTCCCTTGCAATAGTGTGGGGAAGTCTCTTCAGCTGTGTCCATAGACACTTTTCTTAGTCATCTCCATATACCACGGAGCAGGGCTGGAGCCTGGAAAGGACACAGAGGTCATGTGCACCATCAGAGGGATGCCTGGAGTCAGAACTTCCTCAGACAGAAGGAGCTGAACTTTCTTTGAGGAAGTGGCACCAGCAGAGTCGTCCCTGGCTTTCTCAGACGTCTTGACTCATAGTGTGACACGGGCTGAAGACACTGTGGAAGTGGCCCTCGGACCTGACACCTCAGGGAACTTGATTCCTGCCATTGGAAGTTCTTCCTAGGACTTGCTGCTGTTTCCAACGTCTCTTCCTGGAAAGCACAGCACACTACTGGTTGGTCCAGCAGAAAAGCTCTCTGGTGCTGAGGTAAGGCCAAGGTGTCTCATATTTAGTCAGGACTGGAGTCTCATTTGATTTCTACTTGAAGCTGAGTCACAGCTCTACAGAGCTGACCAGACCCTTCTGGAGTTGTCTCATTGAAATGAGCTTGCATTTCGTGTCACTTCAAGATCTACACTTACCAAAAGAATTGAAATACTCGGAGCTGAATAGTTCAGGCACTCTGGTGTCAGTAGGAGAATCTGTGTAGAGGAGATGAGGCAGAAGGTCAAAGGACCATGTTCATGTTTCCTGTTAAGGTAACCACCACATCAGAGTGGAAATGCCACCAGAAGTGTAGACCTTGTCTGGCTTGTTGGATGTATTCATAGCATCTGAAACAGACAAAAGTGCTGGGCGGTGGTGGCTCGTGCCTCTAATACCAGCACTTGGGAGGTAGAAGGAGGTTAGATCTCTGAGTTTGAGTACAGAGGCCAGCCTGGTCTACAGAATGACAGAGAGAAATCCTGTCTTGAAAACCCAAACCAAACCAAGCCAAGCCAAGCCAAACCAAACCAAACAGCCCTCTTGGCTGTTTGGGTTCTGGGAAGGCTAGCAGACCATGGGAAGCCACTCTGTAGAAATAGATAGAAGCTGCATTAGTACACTTGAACATCTGTACAAACTGGTGCTAACAACAGCACCCACATCTTCTCTTGAGCCAGATGAAGGTGTCTAAGGGCTGGTGTCCTTTGAGGCTACTCTCCTTGCCTTGCAGAAAGCTACCTTCTTTCTACGTCTTCATATGGTTATTTCTCTCAGTGGGGGTACTCCTTGAGTCTCTCTTCATGCCCTAGTTACCTATTCTAGAAAGAATCACAGACTCTAGCCAGATGGGACCAGGCTCTGGAGGTGCCCATCAGACAACAAATCTCTTTACACCCGTGTCCCCTCTCTCTGCTGACAGAGGGATGGGAATTCCACTGGTCTCAGTCTCTTCAGTCTGTTGGGAAGACCAAGTGACAGGGTGTGAGGAGAGCACGTCTGTTTAATGTCAGTCACCAGTGGCTTGGGGTACCAGGTTCTGGAGTACAGAGAGTGGGTCCTAGAGCTGGACTGCCATCTGCAAGTTCTAGAATCACTGTCAGGACGTAGTGCCCAGTCTGCATTCCTTCCTCCCTTCTCTGCCTTCCTTTTTTCTGGAAAAAAAAAAGTGTGGCAGAATTGACTTCATGGGTTGTCGTGTGCCTCAGGGATCTCAGCAGGGCCTGAAGCTGCCTCACAGGAAGCAGTGAGTGGGGAGCCGGCTGCCACAGTGTTTTGTACATGTCACTGCCCTTTTTTTTGCTTCCTTCCAGTCTGGTCTTTACCCTGGATTTTATCTGTTGTCAGGTGTTGGCTGGGGACTGTCTGCTCAGAGGTCAGAGGAGTGGGAATGCTCTCAGCTCCTTCCCAGAATCCACAAGGAGTCCAAGGCAGTGGTTGCCCTCTGTGGAAGGGCCTGTGTCGTCTGCTCCAGTGTCCCTGGCATACCCCCCTGCTCCCGCACCCTGCCTGTCACAGGTATTTCCTTATCCATCCCTTGCCAATGGGCACATAGGTTGAAGATGCTGGCGGCTTTGTACCAGGACAGGTGCTCTGAGTTACATCTCTAGGATGTTAATTATAGCGATCTATGCTCCCTCTTCATCCAGTGCCTTAACTTGGCACAGGTGCAGGCATCTCTGCAGTATGCTGACTTAGGGACCATTTGGAGATGCATTTACTTATTTAAATACATTAGTTTTTGAGAGAGGATTTCACGTAACCTAGGTTGACTTCCAACCTGAGGTACAGCTAAGGACAATCTGTAACATAAGATCTTCCTGCCTCCATCTCCCAGGTGCTGTCATTATAAGCATGTGTTGTCACACTTTGTTTTAAATAGCACAGGGGATGGAGCCTGGGACTTTATGCACTCTACCATCTGAGCTACACGTTCAGTCTTTGAGTTCTTTGTTTAGTCTGGACAGACATCTCTGGCAGGATGTCCGATGGGAGGTTTGCAGGAGAGTGGCCGGTCCTGATTTTGTCAAGGAATTTGTAGATAAGAAATTCACTGAAGTCTTTTGGCTCCAAAGTCTTATTTCAAAACTGCGCTTTTTTCCTTATTTTAAATTTTAAGAAAAAGGACAAGGCCGAAGAGCAGCCTCTGAATAGGTTAGTAGACGAAGCAGATTATTTGGGCCTGATTGCCAGAGCTCTTGATATGCAAATGTACCTCTGAGAAGAAATGCAAATTGAGACAGGGAGAGTCTCCAGATGTATGATCCTAAAGAAATCTCTGGTCTTTCTGGGGTTTCTAAATAACAGTGGTAAAACCTTCCTTCCTTTATTCTGTAGGTTTCCAAGTCTAGTCACACAAAGTAGACTAAGTCCTTGCTCTGGTAGTGGTGTCCACACAACAGGTCCCTCCTTGGCTGCGTTGCCGTCTGCAAGGCGGTGAGCGTGCTAACCCACTGTGGCAGGTGGGTGCAGGCATCTCATCCTGGCTCCCCTCAGACACGCGCTGTTCTTAATTTTACTCATGCCTGTCTCCTTCTTGCTTATAAAATGGCTTTAACCCTGGGATCCTGGCTCTTTATCATCTGAAATTGGGGTGTGGCTCTCACTCAGCAGGGGCTGTTTTAGTTTGCTTGGAATCTGCTTTGCTCTTCCTGCCCTGCCTGCACTCCAGCCCTGCTTCAGTCTGGATACAACCCTTCCAAGGCTTGATCCAAGTCTCCCTTCCCCAGGAAGACTTCTCTGACTGCAGCCAAGCAGGGCAGTTACTTTGATTTCTGTACAACATTCCCACACTGCCCCTGGTTTTCTTACTGATTTAGCAATAAGTAAAGCTATACATGAAGTCTTTGGTGCCTCATTATTTGGTTAAACTGGAGTAGGCATCGTCTGCTGAACAATACATTTTTGTTGGCCAGTGACTGTTTTACCATCTGTCCCTACACTGTTTAGGATTAGGCATTGTCTGTGTCAGTGCTCAGTAAAGGCCAACTGAGAACAATGACAAAACAGTGTGTCATGTTGATTCATGTGCTAAACTTATCACACAAGTGAAGAAACCACTTGGTCTCACCAACAGTAGTTCCCAGAAGCAATTTTGGATTAGGGGTGGGGGATGGGCAGCTCATCCTTGATGCCAGCTGCTACTGCATGGATTTGGGGGTCAGGGGAGAACAGTTTTTAGAATTTCTTTCTACATAGTACACAGTGACAGGACTTGGAGTCCTGGAACACAGCTGGTTAAAGCCCCTATCATGGCTGACTGCACAGTTCACTTGGAATGGAGCAGGTTTGTACCCCACATGGGATACCCCAGGAAAGTACAGGGAGGCCTGCTGAGTAAGACAGAGGAAACCAGGGGGAACAACTGGGATTCTGGGTGAAATGAAGGGTGGCAAGTGGGATCAAATAACCAGAGAATGCAGCTCAGCAATGGGTACCTCTGGTCATGGTGTGTGTGTGTGTGTGTGTGTGTGTGTGTGTGTGTGTGTGTGTGTACACATGTATTGTTGGGAGGCTCTAGCTAACAGGAAGGTCTTGACCACTGTCCATTCAACCAGCAGTAGCCTAGCCTTCCTTGTGTCTGAGGCTCAGAGACTGACTGCAGGGTATGAGAGAGAGAGAGCTTGGTCAGACAGAACTGGCTCTGTGCTAGACAGATGGGGTTCTGTTTAGATCAGCAAGAGACACTGAAATCATACAAGAGGTTCTGGGGTAGAGGTGGGACTGATGCTGTGGCCCCTGGCTCAGAGCTGCTCCTTAAAGACATGACTGAGGACAACTCCACAGAGCAGTGGTTCTCAACCTTCCTAATGCTTCAGTCCTTTAAATCAGTTACTCATGTTGTGGTGACCCCCAACCATAAAATTATTTTTGTTGCTAATTCATAACTGTAATGTTGCTGCTGTTAGGACTCATAATGTAAATATCTATGTTTTCTGATGGTCTTGGGTGACCTTTGTGAAATGGTCATTGGACCCCCAAAAGGGTTGTGACCCACAGGTTGAGACCATTGCTCTAGACCCTACCTCCCTTTGTCTTTCCCTTTAGTCTTTCCTCCAGGGTCTCATACATTCCAGTTTTGCCTCAGACTTACTATGTAGCCAAGGATGACCTTAAACTCTAGACTGTCCTGTCCAGGGTGGGATTACATGCATGTGTTACCACACCTTAGTCAGGGCTGGGATCAAACCCAGGACTTTGTGCATGGAAGATAAGCACTCTATTAATACATGATGCAGCCCCAGCCCCAGATCTCACAGGTTCTTCCACCTCCCAATAGGGCCATCCTGACGACTAAAGGTTTAGCACATGGGCCTCTGGAGGACTCTCAAGCCTTTAGCCTCTTAAGCTTCATTTTCTCATTTGTAAAAGCACAATAAAGCCACTTTGTGAGACATGAGACACACACAGTGAAACTGAGAATACCATGAGAATAGTTGGCTTCCTAGAAAGTACCCAGGAGCACCTGTGACTGTAGCCCATCACTGTTAGTCTTCTCCTCATGGTTTGGGGACCCAAAAGAGTGAAGGTCCTGCATTAATGACTTGCCCACCCTCCTCACAGCTCTGTTACTCTAACTCCTGAGACTTTTGCGTGTGCTGTCTTAACACATGCTTAGCAGAAAGTCATTCGACTTTATGATTCTGATGGAAAAGGACACACAGGCATTAGCTTTGCTCCTGACCCAAACTTGAGCCATTTGAATACTCAGGAAACATCTTCCTGCCTTCTTTCCCATGACTTACCCAGATGCCTCGTCCCTAAGTAAAGGAAGGCCTGCATGATTTCTCCAGCTTCCTTGAGCTCCATCAATACTATCTAAAATCATCATCCCCTTGAAGAAAGCACCCCCTAGTCCTTGTGCTGGAACATAGATCCTAACTGGGAGGCTCACAGGAGTTTAGGCAGTCATCCATTTCTGTCTTTCTCTCTTCTAGGAGCCAAGTCAGCCCCAAAGACTATGAACTTCTCCTCCGAGAACTGCAACATATCTGACTGGCTGAAGCTAGAGGCAACCGTGAAGGCCTCTGTGTACGTGGTGACTTTCTCTATTGCCACATCCATCACCATTGTCATTACTGCAATAGTGTCACAGAATCTGCAGCTGAGGAAAGACGTCCGACTAGTCTTCCTTTGCCATCACCTGCTATGTATCTCTTCCTACTGTGGCCTGGGGGTTGTCTTCCAAGGAATGCGGGCCTTGATGGCCAACAGTCCCCTGCTGCTATGCTGGCTGGTATTTGGTGCACAGCTAAGTGTTGGAGAAGGGATCCTCCTTACTCTGGCCTTGATGGCTCTCAACACTTATCTTGACATTTGTTATCCCCTGAACTCTCCATCCATGGTAGATCGTGCTAAGTACAGGATTCTGACTGCGACCTGGACCACTGTTATACTCAAGAATGTTGGCTTATTCCTCATAGAAGGCACTAACCCTGCTCCAGCCTCTGTTTTCCAGTCTGCCCCGCTCTGTCCTGTGATCTTGAATGGCATGCCTGCCAGAGTCATCGGCATGTTTTTCCTTGCCCTTCTGTTATCCGTCATTCTTGTGAGTTACTGTCTGATATACCGAGAAGGGAAGCGGGCAGGCCATTTTAACAGATCAAACATCAAGGCCAGGAGAACTGTCCTTGTTCATCTACTGCAGATAAGCTTACACATGATACCCACCCTGCTATTCATAGGTTTGGGAAAACAATGTGGGACGTTTTTCTTTGCTCTAAACCTGGTGCTTTTTGGTGTCTTCGCATTTGCTCAGTGTTTCAACCCTCTGGTATACGGGTTACGCAACAGAGAGCTGCAGAGAAAATTGTACCCTTGGCTGCACTGTCAGAAGAAGCAGCAGGGGGCTAGTTTAAACAAAAATTTAGTTCTTCGGAGCAACTCCAGCCTTAATAGGTGTGTCAGTTTAGGTTAAGAACTTGACTTGTGTTCTACCCAAAACTGTCGCCTGGCTTTGATTCAGAAAGTACTGAGACTTCTCTGCTGCACCTTGGTGAGGTCAGCCAGTGCCTTTAACTCTAAATCCAGATGAGCTCTTTCTTCTGATGCATCTGAGCGTGATAGCTGAAAGGGCCGGATACAGGAGTCACATGATAATGAAAACATTGGAAAAGTTGGAGGAAACAGAAGTCAGGAATCCCGCCGATTGGTGTCACATCAAGGTAGGACAAGTAGTCCTGTGCTCTGGGCACTCATATCTTGACATCTTTGTCAGCCAGGAGAAAGAGAAACAAGATGGCTTCTACCTCCTCCCATCTTCCATATGTCACATACTCTCCTGTAATTGGTGGAACCTAACTGGCCATTGAGACCCTAAAAGCAAAGGAGTCTGGGAAATGTAGTTCTTAGTTTTACTGATTTGGTAGTCTGGGAAGTTACCTCACAAGGGGGAGTGAGTGAGGACTGAATGAGCCAGCTTATGGGCCCCTCTCTTACTACACTTAGTTTTATTTACAGATTATAATGCTAACAGAAACAAAAGGCACTAGTGGGATTACGTTCCTCTCACTATACAAGCCATTTTACACCATGTCAACCCTCACAACAATTTTGTAATGTAGACATAACTACTCTTGATTTACAAATGAAAAAATGGAGATTGAGAAATGTAAGCCTAGGAGGTTCTAAATCTTACAGTTCTCATAAAATTTTCTGCATATGCTTTTTGGCACAGGGTAATCACTTTTCTTAAAACATTAAAAAGAAATATGAGAGAGAGCGCGAGTGAGCGGGGGAGGGGGAGAGAAAGAGAGAGAGAGAGAGAGAGAGAGAGAGAGAGAGAGAGAGAGAGAGAGAGAGAGAGTCAGAGGACAATTGTTAGAACTTGGTTTTCCCTTCCACTTTTATGTAGGTTCCTTTATGTGGTCATCAGGCTTTCGAGGCAAATGCTGAGCCATGTTGCCAGCCCAACTTTTTTGTTTTTGAGAGCTGAAACCAATTGCTTAAGAAAGTCTACTTTGCTTTGGGTCTGGACAGAGGAGATCCTTTCTTACCTCTCACTTTATCCATCATGCCTCCCAAATGCTGGGATTAAAGTAGAATATCATTACTGCCCCACCTTTTCTACAAACTCTTACACCACAAAAATCAGGCTCTTTGCATTGACATATTAAACACTTTGAAAATAAAGAATCTTTTCGGGCTAGAGAAATGGCTCAGCAGTTAAGAGTACATATTTCTCTTGCAGAGGAACCATGGATTCAGTTTCCAGCACTCACATTAAGCAACTCATAAACTCCTGCAACTCTAGCTCCAGAGGACCCAACACCCTCTTCTGGACTCCATGGTTACCTCACTCACAGGTGCACATATCTTCTCACAGATGCACATAAATAAACATAATTAAAAAATAAAAATAGGTCAGCCTTGAAACCATATACACACAAACAACAAAAACAGACTCAGTGGGTTGTTTCTACATATATTTGTGCATGCATACTGTGGGTATGTATGTATGTGTGTGCGTGTGTGTGTGTGTGTGTGTGTGTGTGTGTGTGTGTGTGTGTGTGTATGTATATTAGTCAGTATTCTGTTGCTGTGAACAGACACCATGACCATGGCAAGTCTTATAAAGGAAAGCATTTAATTGGGGTTGGCTTTCACTTTAGAGGTTTAGTCCATTATCAGCATGGCAGAAATCATGGTGGCATGCAGGCAGACCCGGTGCTGGAGAAGGAGTTAAGAGTTCTATATCTGGATCCTCAGGCAGCAGGAAGAGAAAAAGATACTGGGTCTGGATTGAGCATTTGAAAACCCAAAGCCCACCCCCAGTGATACATTTCCTCTAACAAGGCCACACCTACTCCAACAAGGCCACATGTCCTAATTGCTGTCAAGTAGCACCCCTCCCTAATGACCAAGTATTCAAACACAGTCTATGGGCACCATTCCTATCCAAACCACCATAGTATGTAATAACAATAATCAAAGAAAATGCATCTATCAACTTGAAATGGGGGGAAACATGGGTGGGGTTTAAGGGAGAGTAGTTGTGAGCGATGGGAGCAAGGAAAGGGTGTGGTAAATGATATGATTCTATTTAAATTAAAAACATTAAAAATAATAATATGGGGTGAGGAAAAAAGATTGTCAAAGCCAGAGGAACAGGAGTTTGCTATGAGGTTGTGTCTCCCAGGAATGTTAGAAGTCTCATCTTACCAACATGACTGCCCAAACATGAGTTGAACAAGGATATTTGGCATGCTAACATACACAGGCAAAGCCAGGAGGCTTCAAGCCCACACAAAGAACTACAGGCAACTAGGGAATGCTGAGAGCAGGAGAAATAGTCTTCCCCAGGAAGAGCACACCAAATGGTTATCCAAATACAAATGGTCAACCTGAAAACATATGTATATAATTAACATTATGTGTGAATTTGAAAAACAGCAAAGAGGGGTATATGGAGGGGTTATAGGGAGGAAAGGAAAGGGGAAAATGATACAATTATATTATAATCTCAAAAATAATTAAAAAACAATAAAATAAATATTTTTAAAAAGTCTCTCTCTTTTTTAACCCAGAAAGTCAAAGAAGAACAAAAGTTGACCACACTTAACTCAATTGTAACTCCTAGATCTAATGACTTTGCTTGTAATATTAGTTGGTAGTTGTGGTGATATATTGTTTATGACTTATTAAAGCTTGCCTAAGGATTCAGAAAGCAAAGTTAACCACAGGCCATAGAAGCCAGGCACACACCTTCAATCCTAGCAGCCAGAATCTAGAAGGTAGTGGTACACACTTTTAATCCTAGTACTCAGGATTAAGAAATTAGATGAATCTCTAAGTCCAAGGCCACCCAGATCTACATAAGAGTGAATCAGTCTAAAAGAGAATTATAGCTCACACCTTTAATCCCAACATTAGGGAAGTATGTAAGACAGAAGCAAGGTCTCAGACAGGTATTCATTCTCCAGCCACACTGAGGAAAGGTTACAGTCTGAGGCTTAGTGAGGGCTCCTGGAGACAGGACCAGTTCATTTAGCTTGAGGTAGGGGTAAGAAGCTAGTGGCCAGCTGCTTTGCATTTCTGATGTTCAGCTTGAAGCTTGAACCCCAATATAGGTCTCTGGGCCACTTATTTTTCATGTTATAGGTAGTTTTATACCTTCAAATGCAAATTTAATATATTTTTCAAATTGGGAATATATGGTATAAAATTTTAAAAGCTGGCAATGAAATGAATGGAAATACATCTCCTCCCCTGTTGTGGTTTGAAAGAAAATGGCCCCCAAAGGGAGTGGGACTATTAGGGGTGTGGGCTTGTTGGAGGAATTGTATCACTGTGGAGGTGGGTTTTGAGGTCTCATGTATGCTCAAGGCATGTCTAACGTCTCAGACCACTTCCTGCTGTCCATGAGTTAAGACGTAAGAACTCCCAGCTCCTTTTCTAGTACCGTGTCTACCTGCATGCTGCCTTGTGTCCCACCATGATAATGGACTAAACCTCTGAACTGTGAGCATGTCAGCAGTTCCTCTCCATGGCCTCTGCTGCATCAGTTCCTGTCTCCAGACTCCAGCCTTGCTTGAGCTCCTGTCCTGACTTTCTCCAGTGATCTGGACTATATAATCTGGAAGTGTAAGCCAAATAAACACTTTCCTCCCTAACATGCTGTTTTGTTGCAGCAATAGAAACCCTAAGACAAGCCCATTTGCTCAGCTTCTTGATTCTCTTTTCTAAGTCAGTAACTTGTGATTTTGCGCGCCTTCCTTGAGAGATGATCTACAGAGAGCAAACTACTGGTAATTTCTCATTCTTAAGAATTTTATTCCTATTTCCTTCCTTCCTTCCTCCTTCCCTCCCTCCTTCCCTCCCTTTCACCTTCCTTCCTTCCTTCCTTCCTTCCTTCCTTCCTTCCTTCCTTCCTTCCTTCCTTCCTTCCTTCCTTCCTTCCTTCCTTCCTTTCTTCCTTTTTGAGTCAGTGTTTCTCTGTGTAACAGCTTTAGCTGTCCTGGAACTAGCTCTGTAGACCAGGCTGGCCTTGAACTCATAGAGATCTGCCTGCCTCTGCCTCCTGAGTGCTAGGGGTGGGCCACCACTACCTGGCTACTTTTGTTTCTTTTTGAGACAAGGTATCACTATGTAGCCTTGGCTGATTTGGAACTTGCTATGTAGATCAGGATGGCATTGAGTTTATAGACCCGAACTGCATTTACTTACTGAATGCTGGAATTAAAGGTATGTGCCACCATGCCCAGCCTCATTTGTAAGATAATTTAAGTCTTCATAATGTGGATTTGGATCTGAAAGATGTTTACTTAGGTGATTATAATCGTGGTTTATGTCATGAGTGATGTGACAAGAGCCAGGATCAATTTTAGGATGTGAAATTCTGAGCCAGGCAAGGAGGCACATGCCTTTAATCCCAGCACTGAGGATGCAGATGCAGGTCATTTCTGAGTTCAAGGACAGCCTGATCCACAGAGCTAGTTTTGAGGCCGCTAGGGCTACACAGAGAAATGAGAGATAGAGACAGATAGATAGATAGATAGATAGATAGATAGATAGATAGATAGATAGATAGAGACAGAATCAGAGACACAGAGAGAGACAGAGATACAGAGACAGAGACACACAGAGAGAGACAGAGAGAAGGGAGGAAGTGGTGGTTACAGTCACTTGCAATCTGATGAGAGCTCTTGTAAAATGTGCCCTTTCCACATTCCTTTGTTGTTAATGAAACAGTCAGAAAGGGGAGGATGTTGGGGCAAATATTCAGAGAAGATGAACTTTGCAAATAGTTCTAAGAAATTAAGTCACTTAAGGAAAAATAATATAAATTATCTCAAAATTTCAAACCTTGAATGCATGTTTCATTTATCCCAACTGTACCAATGTCACTACAGCATGGAACATTTCTGACCACTGACTAATTGTCAGACCGAACTTGGAAAATCTCTAAAAGCAAGAATTTTAAAAACTTGACACCTTTTCATCTAAGAAAATATTAAATGAATTAGGCCATTTAGTAGCTTCAGAAGTTCAAACCACATTTACAAACCTGAAGAATTCTTTTTCTCTGAGAAGATCAAAGCCTATGGCTGTGAATGCTCACCTGGTAGCCAAGCAACGACACACATTTACATCTCTTCCATTGGCGGGGCTGGAGGAGAAGATGTCAGAGTATTCTTTTTTTAAATTATATTTTCACATATGACTGTGCGTTAGGTGCATGCAGTGCCGCCAGAGGCCAGATGAGGGCATTGGAGCCCATGGGACTGGAGTTACAGGTAGTTGTAAGCTGTTCTGTGGGTGCTGGGAATGGAACCCAGGTCCTCTGGAAGAATAGTCAGTGCTTTTAACCACTGAGATCTCATTCCAGCATCACCAGCATATTCTTAAGGGATAAGAGGGCTGTGTGATGGAGCTGGCTTTGAGGATATTGGAAAAGACTGTCCCCAAAGCTTCCTGCCTCTAAGTGGGTGGCTCTCAGATAAAAGAGAGTGGAGGGGACTGTAAGGGTCCTGTTGGAAGGAGAGGGTGGAGGGTACTGTAAGGGACCTGCTGTAAGGAGAGGATGGAGGGTACTATAGAGAGTCTTGCTGTAAGGAGAGGATGAGGAGACTGCTGAGGGTCCTGCTGTAAGGAGAGGATGGAGGGTACTATAGAGAGTCTTGCTGTAAGGAGAGGATGAGGAGACTGCTGAGGGTCCTGCTGTAAGGAGAGGATGGAGGGTACTATAGAGAGTCTTGCTGTAAGGAGAGGATGAAGGGACTGCTGAGGGTCCTGCTGTAAGGAGAGGATGGAGGGTACTATAGAGAGTCCTGCTGGAAGGAGAGGGTGGAGGGGACTGTAAGGGACCTGCTGTAAGGAGAGGATGGAGGGTACTATAGAGTCTTGCTGTAAGGAGAGGATGGAGGGGACTGCTGAGGGTCCTGCTGTAAGGAGAGAATGGAGGGTACTATAGAGTCTTGCTGTAAGGAGAGGATGGAGGGGACTGTAAGGGACCTGCTGTAAGGAGAGGATGGAGGGTACTATAGAGTCTTGCTGTAAGGAGAGGATGGAGGGGACTGCTGAGGGTCCTGTTGGAAGCAGAGGATGGAGATGGAGTAGGAAGCATCTGCTAAGACAATAATCCGGAAAGACGAACTCTGATCCAAATGCCACAAAGTGACTTTTTCTCACCAGCAATTTTCCTACGTAACACACAAATACCCACATTTGCTGTGGATGGTCTTCCCCACCTTCCATCTCCACCACCTTCCAATTCTAGAAGACTCACAAGCAATCTGGAGGCACAGGCATGTGGTAAGAAAGCAAAAGCAAGGACTACTTGGGGGAAGAAGGGAAATCAGTCAGAGGGTCGGGTACTGTCTTCGTTAGGGTTTCTATTGTCATCTCAAAGGGAACATGAGCTAATTTATTCTGGAGTAAACTATGATTTAAACTGTGAACACAGATTTAGGGTACCCCAAATGCTATGTACTGACCTGGCAATAGTTTCTTGATTTTTTTTTAATAAGAAAAGAAAATGAAGTCCTAAGTCAGGGCAACTTTCCAATACATGGGTGGAATGTCCGATAGGTGGTTACAGCAAAGTGGGAAGCCTCGCTGTAGGCCTCAGATGATGCCTGATGACATTCTTAGCTTTGGGCTGGGAGATTGTTAGTATGTTCTGGGAAGATTTTACCTTATAGTCATGGGCCACTAGGTCAAACACAGAGGGGGGTGATGCCTGACTCTCAAGAAGGCTAAAGATAGACTTGGAGCATTCTACTCTCTGTCATGGAAATTCTAACCAGTCAATCGATCCTGGAAATCTTTAACATAGGTGCAGCTGTTTTCTCCCTTGGGAACTTCAGGTCACAGGCACGTCAAGGTTGGAGTTTCATGTTATTTCCTGGTCCACCGAGATGTGAACAAGCATCTCCATGCTTCTGCCGCCACACAAGGGCTGCCTGTAACAGGAAGATATCACTGCAGCTGTCCTTGCCATGATGTAATGGATCCACAAACCAAGCAGCAAAGCAAATTCTTCCTCCTCTGTACTGCTTCTCGTCAGGTATGCCACCACAGAAAACTGACGCTGAGAAGTGAGGTCACTGATAGGATTGCCTGACCATGTGGTTTATGGAATTTAGGAAGAGGCTGATGGGAGGAATGGAAAGAGTTTGGCCCTGTAGGTTAGAGCAGGCCTAGAGTTCAATGTAGATGAGAGTTCAATGGGCTGTTCTAGCAGGAGAGTGAAGGTCTAGACTATCAATAGGAATGTAGACAGTGAAGGCCAGGTTCATGACACTTTGGAAAGACTCTAAACAAGAACCGGAGTAGAGGACATTTATGTTACACTTGACACAGAGTCTGGCTATCTTCAGCCCATATTCTGAAAATTTGAGTGAGACTGAATTTTAAAATAATAGACTAATTGGTTTAGTGAAGAAAATTTCAAGACAACCTAACATGCGGGCTGTGGAATGGTGTCATGAGCACGCTATGTCAGAAACAGAGGTAAACACATTTATGTCCTTCTACAACGTAAGACTTTATTGAACGGTAATAAACTCACAAGCTACAGCATTTTCACTGGCAACAATTTGTCGGGTATCCCCACTTTCCTTAATAACCCCGGCCAAGGGAAACGTGATCTTCACTGCAATATTAATGATTAATTCTCAGATCACATATTACACATATATGTAGCATTTATCTCTATCTACCACTATCTATCTTTCTATGTATGTTACAGACTAGCTACCGAGAGTTAAGGTGGCAAAGGCCTGGGAAGCCGGAGTTGATGCAGTTAGAAGTGCACCAGCGTGTGTAGGGTGAGATAAACGAGCCGGAGACAAGCAGGTGCTGAAATTACTGCTGCAGTATTTGGCTGCAGGGACAGGGCTGAGCTGTAGAGTTGAGTTCAGCTGCAGAACCCGAATTCAGGACTAGGTCCAGATGAATGGTTGAGCAGGTGCAATGAGCAGTAGGTCCAGATGGACCAATAGGAGGATGGTAGATGGGCAATTTGAGTAATCTCCGGCAGCAGCGGGGACCAAACTGAACTGAAGTCCTTGGGACATTCAGGAATTCTCCACCTGTTGATCAATAGATGCACATACCAAGCAGTTAGATGATAAGTTGGTGGGAACCATCACCAACACAGGGATTGGCATCCTCCTTATAGGGCATAGACAAGGGGTCACACTCTTTGCCCAGGCAAGCGTGTGTGATCAATTCTTAGGTTTGGTTTTCCTGATATGATGTCAATTTGCCCATATGCTTCTATAGTCCCAGTCCACTAATAAATCTATAGAGAGGTCCTCTTCCATTCCCAGGAGTTTGTAATTTGTCAGTCTGTGTTGTATAGATGGCGCCAAACAGATGGTGCCGTTCTCCCGTCCATCCAGGTGCAAACTCACCCTGCATCAGCAAACAGAGTCAAAAGCTGCTTGTAAAAAGAAGTCTCTCAAGGAAAGACACATTCTGAAAGCAACAACAATGACAAAAAAACAAACAAAAACAAAAAACCAGCACACCCTTTTACATGATATAGAGTAACTTAGGTCTAGCCTCATCTCAACACTGGGTCATATTGTCTTCATGGAGTACCTGAGGCTGTTGTGTATGGAGCTATAAAGGTAAAGCCTATATTACAATGAAGATCAGAAATATGGGAAGCTTGCCAGCGGAAACTGTGGGCATTGGGTGGAAATGGCCCAAGGGAGACTACAACCGATATATGCAACAGAGCAGGAGGGACAGGGCTCTGCAAGCCCATCGGAGCACAGATGATGCCAATACCAGTCCCAGATGCCAAACATGGAGTTGCAGGACTTTTTTTTTTGTGGTTCGTCCTATTGGATTTCAGTCTTAATTTGGTATGGTATTGTTGTGTCCCTGTTCCTTTCTTTTGTCACAGGAATGTCTGTTCTGCGTCACTGTTTGCTGGAAAGAAGTAAATTCCCCTTTGATTTAACAGGCCTGACAGATGGGGGTCGCTTCGTGGAGTCTTCGAAGAGACTTTGGACTTTTGGATAATGTTTAAACTGTTAGGACTATGGGAGGTTTTAAAGTTGGGCTGAGTACATTCTGCATTATCAGAAGACCATGTACCTATGGTGGCCTGGACAGGATGCTATTATTTGGTTGTAAAATATCTGCCAAAAGCTCATGCCAAAGACATTGAATACTGGATCTCTGGTTGGTAGTGATATTTTGGATGTTGGGACCTAACCGGAGGAAGTGAGTTACTGGAGGATAAGCCTTGAGGTTTATAGGCTGGCCCTACACCCTGTATCCTTCTGCTTCACGGACCAACAAGATGTGAATAAACACCCTCATATTCCTGTCACCATAGCTGTGATTGGTTTCTACCACTATACCTTCCCTGCCATGACGGGAGGTCCCCTCCAACTGTGTTCCCTGCCATGACGGGATGTCCCCTCCAACTGTGAGTCAGAATAACTCCTTCCTCCCTTAAGCTGCCTCTTGTCAGGTATTCTGTCATATGGAGAGAAAGTAATACCAGAGGAAGTTATTCAAATATCCACCAAGGTGGATATTTGGCAAAGCAGGCCCACAGTTCGCAAAGATGCTTGCTGTAAAAACCTGTTCAATCCTCGGAATCCACTTAAAGGTAGAAGTGCCTCCATGATGCCTACAGGAACTCTGTGGCATGTGTGCCCCTCTCCAATCAAAAAAGTTATCCACCACACATGAATGGCTAAACAAAATGAGGTGTGAGCATACAAGTAAACAATAGAATAAAATACTCTGCAGCCTTAAAAGGGAAGGAAATTCTCAGGCTGGGTATGGTAGCACACATCTTTCTTCCTACTGAGGCAGAGGCGGAGGCGGAGGCGGAGGCAGGGGGATCTCTGTGAGCCCCTGGCTGACCTAGGCTGCCTAGTGAGGACCTGCCTGTCTTAAAAATGTCAGATTCAGTCTTGAAAAACACTATGTGGTCGAATTTGCTTATTGGTTCCGAAAGGCCCCCATAATTGGTCGTTTCTCATGCAATCTTGTCCTTCAGCTTCCCCAGGTCACCTGAAGCATTCCTGGAAACGAAGTCTGAGGCAGCTATGGGATGGTTAGCCTGGGCCAGCTACCAGACCCTGTTAAACGAAAAGCGAGACTACACAGATCTCCTCCAGCCCAGCCCACAGGGTGCATCTCAGCCATTTAATTACTCTGGCTGTGAGGCTTTAAACAGCAGGAGAAACTTTTTGCTGACTTAGAGTCCTCCCAGGCACTTCCTGAGCATGGCCATTTAGTTTGCTGTTTCTTTACTACTCTTAACTTTACAATGACCTCGCTTGTATTCTTAGTTAGCCCTCATGTTATGCATGTTTGGTGACAGAGCCTTTGAGAGCATCCCTGCTCCCTTAAAGGGCTTCAGGGGTTCCTTCTAGCTTACTGCAGGATTTTGATACCTAGATGCTCAGCATCTGGAGGGAAAACCACAGTGCTCTCTAGTGGTGGGGAAGTGCTGTACAGTCTTTGGAGGCACTCCAGGGATTTCGTCTTCTAGTATAAGACTGCCCATGCCCAGAGAGTTGCATTATGCCACCTGTTCACGTTAGAAGGAATTCCTACCTTTCTGTGATCATCTGAAGGACAAACATGAGACTGGCCTGAGGACTGGCCTGCCACTGAGTGAGCGGTGGAAGGAGGGAAGTAGACAAGGTGATTTGGGCAACCACTCGTGCCCTCTGCCAGCTCTGCCTTCAGGAGAAGCCTGGCCTGTGGCGTCATTATTGGTGGTTTTGCTTTATCACCTAGACTTCCGGACTGCTTTCCTTCCTGGATCCTCTTCCTCCTGCTCCTCCTCCTCCACCTCCTACGGACACAATGGATGGAGTTCTTCAGGTTTCCATCCTTGGTCAAAGTCTGTCCATATGATCAGAGTCGCTCTCCAGCTGCAGGTTTCCCATTGTGTCCTCAGCTTCAGGCTGCCTCATCTCTCCTCACCCCAGGCATGTTCCAGTGTTCAGCAATGTCTCCTCTAGGGCTCCGTAGGTGCACTTCAAACCCATCCTGCTAAACACAACCCGTCTTCCTGCCGCACTCTGCTCTTTCTTTGTGACCTCCATTTTATATAACACGCTCCATATACCACAAACCTGGGGTTCCATCCTGTTTCTATACTCCCTCTCATCTCCCGAACCATCCCATTCTCCCCAGCCCTAAGTTTATCTAAAAGGTTGTTTTCCCCCCTGCTCCAGCAAGGTCCATCAAATATACCAAACAGGTGTATTAGTATGCTGGTCACCTTTTTTTTTCCTTTTTAAAAGGATGTACTGAGCCGGGCGGTGGTAGCCCACGCCTTTAATCCCAGCACTCGGGAGGCAGAGGCAGGCGGATCTCTGTGAGTTCAAGGCTGGGCTGGACCGATAGCCTCCAAAACAATACAGAGAAACCAAACCAAAAAAAAAAAAAAAAAAGGATGTACTGAAGGCTTCCATTCGGTGCCAGGAAGGGTCCTTAAAGCTGCCCTGGCATGGAAACAAGTACCCATTTTATTTCTCCTCAATTCCTCAATGCAGAGGCTCATGAGCATTCCTCATTACTGTCAAGAAAGTGCAGAACTCCCTGGTAGAACAAGGGAGCAAAGGAATCAAATGGCTAAAAACTCTTACATCCCTGTGGCGGTTAAGGCTGCCAACCTGACAGGCTCTGCCGTCACCTAGGAGACAAACCATGTGGTACCTGTGAGAACTTATTTACCTCTGGGCATGCCTATGAGGGTTTATTTTGATTATCTTAATTAGGAGGACCTAACCTGAAGGCAGAAGAGCCATTCTCTGGGCTGGGGTCCTTTCTATGGAGAGAGAAAGGCTGGACTGGAACTGATCTTCTTGCTTCCACTCTTCATGCACTGGGGTTCCAGGCATGCGCCAGCATTTGTCTGATTACAGAGAGGCTACTGGGTGGGAGCTCCTTAGGTGCTTGGAGTTCCCACCTGAACGAACCAGAGCCTAATGCCAACAGCAAAGCAAGTGCGACATTTTAGCTAAGGCCACCATCTAGTCTCTCACTTAGGACTTTCTACCCTGACCTACTGGATGTGTTTCTCATTCTCACCTCCGCCTGTTGTTACCATGTCCTCATGCAAATTACAAATGATACAAAGGAGTCTTCAACTCTCAGTGAGCTATGAATACCAGTGGCTAGTGACAAGTGAGGGAGTGAGGGAGGGAGAGAGATCTTAGGTATTTTGTATTATGGTATTGTTTATGGGGGTCAAGTGTGTAATGTCATGTGCTTGGTGTCAGTTTGACAAGGGACAGACTTACAATGGTTCATCTTCATTATCTCCTGGACTGGTGATAGTAGACTCACCTCTGTGTATATCTCTGGGGGGTGTTTCTGGAAAGATTTAACAGAGAAGACCCTGGACATGGGTGGCACCATCCCATGGGGACGCACTGAACTGCGTAAAGGGGAAAAATGAGAGAATACCAGCATTCTTTCTTTGGTTCATCTCCTGATTCTTGTTACAGCAACAGGAAACATTACAGTTTAAGAGATATAGTTGCACATCTCATAAAATGACATATAGTTTCATGTAACCCTATGCTCAACATCTACTTATCTTGGCATATGATTTGAGGGCGAAGTTCCTTAAAGCCTGGACAGCATAGTGGCAACAGCATCTGGCTACTGCTCTCATCTCATCCACAGTCAGGAAGTAGAGATGAATGTGTTTAGCATCAGAAGACAGAAGATGGCTGTGAGTCTGCTGTCATCTGAGTGCCATGTGGAAATTTTTGCATCATCAGATTCCATTAAAGTCAGAAAGTAGTAAAGTCAAGGGGAAAATAAATCCAAGTTTGAGTTAAAGATTATTATGGGATGTTTTTATGTATTCCATAACCATACTTGTGTTTTCAATTTTGATGCCTTAAAATAACTTCATCTGCCAGGCACTGGTGGTGCACACATTTAATCCCAGTACTTGGGAAGCAGAGGCAGGGGGATCTCTGTGAGTCTGAGGCTAGCCTGGTCTACAAAGTGAATTTCAGGACAGCCAAGGCTACAGTAGAGAAGCCTCTTGAAAAAACTGAACTGGCCGGGCATTGATGATACACACCTTTAATCCCAGCACTTGGGAGGCAGAGGCAGGTGGATCTCTGTGAGTTCGAGGCCAGCCTGGTCTACAAAGTGAGTTCCAGGACAGCCTCCAAAGCCACAGAGAAACCCTGTCTCGGAAAACAAACAAACAAACAAACAAACAAACAAAAAAACTGAACTGAACCAAACCAGACCAACCAACCCAACTCAACCCAACTCAACCCAAAACAAAACAGAAAGCACCCCATCCATCACTCATACACAACTCCGAGGTCTGTTTTGACTGCACTTTGTTATCCTCAGCTCAAAGGAGTCAGCATTCAAGGGAAAGCCTAGCATTATGTTCAACAGAGTGACAGGAAAGGAACAAAGAAAAGAGAAAAGGAAAACTAGCAGTAGGAGCGGGAGATGGAAGATTGATTTTAATTATGACCAGCCGATTGAGATACCTAAAATAAGATGCTGTTAAACTCAGTTATGATGAGAACGTTTGAGAAGTTGTACCACACTCACCTTTCTGATCTTGTAACGTGCTCTGGAAAGCTAGGGTAGGAACTTTTTCTGAAATAAAAAAGATCTAAGTGTGTGGTTAATCCGACCTGTGGTGTGAGTCTGGTCTTTCCAGCCTCCTCCTAAAGGTTTCTGCTGGATGTTCCACCATGTCTTGCAGATTCTGACCAATAAAATTGAGAAAGGACCCTCTCCCTTTCTCTGGAGCATCTTTTCTAAGTCCTGATGTAACAGGGCCCCCAGACCTTAGCACAACTGACTCCATGATGGAAGTACCAGTTAGGCCATAAACTGCATGTTGACAGTACCACCAGCCAAAATGAAAACAAGGATTTAATCCATCAAAGCCCATCGTTCTGGGGCATCTCTAAATGGACTAACCTTGCTTTTGACTTCTGTAGTTCTGCTTCTGACTAACTGACCTTATTAACTGAAGTATGTCAGCCCAGGGCATGTTTTTGTGCTTAAAAGCTCAATCCTGGGAAAGGCTTCATGCTACACTGGCATCCCAAACACCCAGTGTAGTTGCCAGCTGGCTAATAGACTTCCTATTGGCTAAATAAAGACTTCCTATTGGCTTAAACCCAAGTCCTGAGAAGTCGTCTCTGGTGGCTATGCCACAACACTGAGTTTTCCCTCACAATCTCTCTGTTCCCACCGAGGCATTCCAGCTTGACTTTCCACACCAGAAGTAGACTGTCAACACATGCTTGTTGCATGCTTACTGGATGTCAGATACTCTGGTTAACGGACTATATAAAGACAGCC